ATATCACCACCAATCTCTCCCCCAAAAGCCATTGAGCATTGGGAAGCTGATGATGAATGCAAATGAATGCAGTAATAAACACACATTTTCCAAAATCCCAATTTTTGCTTGAAAGTTGGAATTTTATCATTGGCAACAAATCTTACTAGTGATTTCCGTGACAGGCTCACTGTTTATCTTTTGAGAAACTGTCTGCCAGATACCCAAGTATGAGAAACCACGAGTCTCTCAGTGTGCCGTCAGGTTAAAATTGTGTCTGTGAATAAAGGGACCAGTGCACCTGCAGACAGGTGTGCGGGGCCTTCCCTGGGTCAGCTGTGGCTCTTTGGTTCACAGAAGGGCGTTAGGTGTCCTTTCCATGTTGCCACACAGAATATTAAAACGATGTGTACTCCAGAGCTGAAGTTTTATAAAATTAACAATTTTGACCATTTCAAGGACATTCTCAAGTGAAACTGACATTTATTATTTATTTATTTTTCAAAAATATATGTTTTATTCATTTCAGAGAAGGGAGAGGGCGAGAGAGATAGAAACATCAATGATGAGAGAGAATCATTGATCAGCTGCCTCCTGCACGCCCCACACGGGATCGAGCCTGCAACCCGGGCATGTGCCTGACTGGGAATCGAACCCTGACCGCCTGGTTTGTAGGTTGATGCTCAACTACTGAGCCGCATTGGCCAGGCCTGACATTTATTTTTTAATTGTGAGTGCCTGGTGGTGAAGAACGTGACCCCTAATACAATTTGCTGCCATGTCTGATTCATGCTAAGGTGTCAGCAGCTTCAGCCACCATTGCTTTTGCGCCATCCCTACAAATCTCAATACACGAAAAAGGCAAATAATCTATTAATATTATTTTGAAAATAGACTTCCTAGTCTCACAGGCCCCCCCTAGGCATCCTCAGACCACACTGAGAATTGCTGATGTTGAACATTCCCTCAATCCCCAAAAATCTTTTATGAGATTGACATTTTGACAAATTCAGGTCAACTCTGTAAAGAATGTCTCACAATTTGGATTTTCTGAGTTTTCCTTCATGCTTAGAATTCAGGTTAAATATTTTTGGCACAAATGCTGTACAGGTGATGTGTGCTTCCTATTCTATTTCATCAAGAAGCACTTACTGTGAGTTTGTCCAATTATTGATGATTCTACACTTTTTGTTTTTTACAATTCAGTGAATTAATTGGGCAAGTGAGAATACTTTTTAAAGTGGCCCCTGTCTCCTTTTAACATGTCTCCATCAGTCTTTAAGCAATTCCTTACTTTCTGGCATACAATATTGATAATTCACTTGCTTTCTGGCACACAATATTGATGATTCACTTTCTCCTTTCCCTGAAATCAGCCATTTGTCCAAGGATCTTTGGTTCCTTTTAGTGGGAATGGTATTTAGAAATCAAGATTGGGGCACTATCTGTACTTATTGCTAGGCGGGTGTTATTCCTGTTAGGCCCTTTCAGTAGACAGAGCTAGAATCTATCTATCTATCTATCTATCTATCTATCTATCTATCTATCTATTATCTATCTATCTGGTAAATTGATCAATTTAGAATTACCTCATACATGCAACATGGATGAACTTCAAATATATTACATTGAGTAAATGAAGCCCTAAAAATATGCTCTACAGAACAGAACCAGAATCCTGGAGTCCCATTTGGCCCAGCTGAGCCCAATCTAGATCAGCTGAGCTGTAGCCACCTTCAGATCTGTGAGTGAAAAATGCAATGGTGGTTTTTGCAAGCCCCTAAGATTTGGGGGTTGGTTGCTGTGCAATTATTTGTTTGTTATTGTAGCCAGAAATGAGGAATAAGAAAGAAAGCCAAGAGCATGTGATCTTGGAAGTTAAAAAGCGCCTCAAGGAGGGGTAGCCATGAACTGTTTCAAACACCTCTTTTAAATCTATGATATTGCAGACTAGAAATGGACAATGAATTTAGCAGCATGAAGTTATCAGTGAACCTAATAAGAACAGTATCACAGGACTGAAGATGGATGGATGGAAAGTCCAATTAGAATAGGTTCAAGAGAGAATGGGAGATGAGGAATTGGAGACAGTGAGCTAGAAATATCTTTTAGGAGTTTTGGTGAAAAGAATAGAGTAGAAGCTGGAAAGGGAAGTGGGGTCCTATGAAAGTTTTGTGTTGTTTTAAATTTAGGAAGGTAGAAATAGCAGTGTGTTTGTGTCCTGATGGGCAATCCGGAAGAGAGTAATAAGTGATGGTGTGACAATGTCAGGGGTGATGGGGAGTTACTGGAGGGATGTCTGGGGTAGCAGGAGTGCATGGAATCAACTGCTTCAAGGGCTTCTTAAGGGCAGACTCTAACGCGTGTCCCCCGCATCTCCCACAGTGCTGACTTCTCCCAGTGGTTCTCAACCTTCCTAATGCCGCGACCCTTTAATACAGTTCCTCATGTTGTGGTGACCCCCAACCATAAAATTATTTTCGTTGATACTTCATAACTGTAATTTTGCTACTGTTATGAATCATAATGTAAATATCTGATATGCAGGATGTATTTTCAGGGGTCACGACCCACAGGTTGAGAACCACTGCAAAACTATGGGTGAATTTACTGGGTTGAACATATTTTCAAAAAGACTGGTGAACAGCAGTATGGTACCAACATTGTTGGGCCTGAAACCCAATTCAGGTGATGGCCTCTCCTCAGACTGATGCAGGCCTCATCAGAGCTTGGATACCACCTATGAAGAAGTGGCAGATTTCATCCAAATGGGTGGGTGGGGGGAGTGGGGAGGAGAGAATGATGGTCCAGCAATTGAAGCTTCTAATCCATTAAATGCAGGGGGACACATGCCAAACTGTTATGGTTCTCTAGTTCAATCTGACTTATTTCCTTCAGATGGAATTCTTATCTCTGCAGAATATTTTTCTTCCAATAAAAACAATTACCACCATCATCCAGCTCAAGACAACCTGAAATCACTGTGATCTCTAACTATTGTTTCCCACACACCCTCTTGTAGCGATCTCATGAGAGCCTCACAGTATTACTCACTCCCCAAGCAACTGCAAAATTTCCGGAGTGCTCATTCTGCGTAAGATCCTGTGAAGTCCTCTGGGCACCCACGTCTTCAAGGATGGGTAATGTAGCTTACTTCTTTCATATCATCCCTAGAGCCAGACTCCCGGTAGGAACATAATGCATGCTGACTTGACTATTCTCCATCCAATCATTCCATGGCATGGGAGAAAATGACAAACATGGGTGAGTGTTCTGAGCTGAAGGAGGATCGCCAGATTTACAACAAACAAGCAAGCAGCTGCACACCCATTAAATTTGAATTTCAGTTAAAGAATACTTGAATTTTAGTATGGTACATTTCTGGAGGATCACACCAATCTCCTCTTGGTAGCACTCTCCAATTGGCTCTCCCCTGGAGGATTTGCCCACTTTGATATATCTCACTCCTTCAAGTATGAGTGCTTTTTTATTTGTGGACATTAAAGGCTGAATTAGAAATGGAATAAGATCCCCAGGTTGCAATTGTAGAGAAAGGTATAAATGAAGCCCGAAGTGAAACCAAGCATAAATGAATAAAACATTAGGCTTTTCTCCATTCCCTCTCCCTAGCTACCGTTTACCGGCCGCCCCGCTGGCTCCGGTTCAGCTTAATGATGTCGTCCAGAGACATGTCCATTTTGTTGGCCATGGAGGGCGCGGGAAGCCTCTGGGCCTGGTGGTGGGATGCCTGGTCAGGGACCTGCGAAGGGAATGCCGGGAAGCATCAGGGTCAGGCTAGCGGCTGGTTTTCTATCTCTTTTGCACCATTGCCCCCCATAATCCTCCGCCCCTCCCGCCTCGCTCGCTGGCCCAACCCCTGAACTCACCGGTGACTTTGAGCAGGGCAGAAATCTGCCTCTGGGTCCTTCCTTCTTCAAAGGCCCAGCGGAGAACCAGCCTCAGTCTAGCGCGCTCCTCTGCTATCTGGGATCTGTGGACTTGGGGGACGCCAGGCACCCTTATATAGGGTGGAGCCACGCCTACTTGGAAATTCCCAGGGCGTGTCCCCAGTCACTCTCAGAGGGGCGGGCTAGGGTGGGAGCCAATGGGGGCTGGGGGCGTGACCTGCCACACCCTTGAGGAGGAGGGGCCACAGGGCCTGTCACTGACCCTCTCTCCATCTACCACATGGATATGGTATCTGGAGGGTGCGTTTCAGGAAGAGAAGAGTTGGGAAAGTAGAAGGCGGCAGTTGCCCCTTCTGAAGGGGAATCCCCAAGTGAGGACTGGACCTCGCGATTCTGTTTCTCTCATCACTGTCATTCAAGTCAGGTCGCCTAGGACTGGGTACTCCACGGTCGGTCGCGTTACCGGCCCTAGTGAAATGGCTGCTAAACACATTGATAGAGACACGCAGAGCTACAGAACACACTGCTCTGGCTCTTCTCCTCGGTGGACTGCTAACTGCCATCTGACTCATCATGTTAGGAAATCAATTCGGGTGCCCCTGGAAACGCTTGCCTAGCACCCCTCTCAGGGCAAGTGTGGGACACCGCACACGGATGCGGACCATGTCATGGCGGCCGCTCCCCGGGTGTTCCTGGCGATTGGGTTTGGTCTCCTGTCTCATCAGAGCCTAGGAGACCACGTGAAAGAAAGACGCCTCAGCGGGTGCCAGACCGCTCGGTGACACAAAGCACCGTGGGAAGGAAAAGAAACGTGGACATTTTGGAGACAAGAAGAATTTGTGGATTTTATCTTTATTTGTGCAAGGTAACACAGGTTCACAATCAGGGAAATAAAACAAAATCAAGGAAAGCAAAACACGGGCTCAAGGTCAGGATTCACAAGCACAGACGTTCTCAGGCCTCCCGCTGTGGACGGAGTCGGCTAGGAAGGAATGACACGGAGACGGCGTTCAGTTGATGAGCAGCGTAGCCAGGTTCTCCAGCCAGGTTCCGTAGCCAGGTTCCGTGGCCAGGTTACCCAGGCCTAGCTGCACGCGCGGACTCGCTGGTGCTTTAGCTGGTGTCCATCCTCGCGTTGTAAGCGTCCAGCTGGGCATCCAGCTCCTCCGCAGAGATCTGCTGCTTTGAACTCTGGCCGGTGCCCCTGCCTCTGCGGGTGCCGCCACCGAAGCCTCCAGATCCTCGGTTCCTAGTCCTCCCGCCTCTGTTGACACTGGGTCCCGGCCTGCGCTGCGTGTCTCCCTGTGAGGTGACGAGCTGGATGTTCATGGGGCGGCCGTCCAAGGGGACGCCGTGGTACTGCTGCATGGCTGTCAGGGCGTCTGCCTTCCGCTCAAAGTGCACGTGGGCCGTTCCCAGGCTGCGGCCAGAGCGGTCGTAGTGCACGCCGGCCTTCTTCAGAGTCCCGCAGTCCGCAAACAGCTCCTGGATGTCCGCGTCGGACACTGCGAAGTCCAGGTTGGACACCAGCAGTTTGCCTCCCGTCTCCAAATGGGCGCCCGCGCCGAAGCCGCCATCGAAAAGGTCGTGCTGCCACCTGTCGGGAAGCTGTCTGGGCCGGCTGTAGGGTGCAGGCCGGTTCCTGCCTCCGC